CAGCACTATTTACAATAGCCAGAAAATGGAAGCAACCTAAGAGTCCATCAGTAGATGAATGGATAAAGAAGATGTGGAACATATTCACAATGGAATATTATTCAGCCATGAGAAGAAAACAAATCCTACCATTTGCAACAACATGGATGGAATTAGAGTGTATTATGCTCAGTGAAATAAGCCAGGCAGATAAAGACAAGTACCAAATGATTTCACTCATCTGTGGAGTAAAAGAACAAAGAAACAACTGAAGGAATAAACAGCAGCAGATTCACAGAATCCAAGAATGGACTAACAGTTACCAAAGGGAAAGGGACTGTGGACGATCGGTGGGAAGGGAGGGAGAAGGGGGGGAAAGGGGGCATTATGATTAGCAGACATAATGTGGGGAGGGGGAACACAGGGAAGGCAGTATAACAGAGAGAAGACAAGTAGTGATTTTATACCATCTTACTATGCTGATGGACAGTGACTATAATGGGGTACGTGGTGGGGACTTTATAATAGGGGGAGTGTAGTAGCCATTATGTTCCTCATGTAATTGTACATTAATGATACCAAAATAAATAAATAAATAAATAAATGGGACTAGGAAAACTGTACAGTTACATGCAAAGAATAAAACTGGATCATTGGCTTACACCACACACAAAAATAAACTGAAAATGGATTAAAACCTAAATACAAGACCTGAAACCATAAAAATTCTAGAAGAAAACCAGCAGCAAACTCTTGAACATTAGCATTATTAACTTTTTTCTGCATGTCTCCCTAGGCAAGGGAAATGAAGCAGAAATAAACAAATGGTACTACATGAAACTACAATGCTTTTGCACAACTAAGGAAACCATCAAATAAACAAAAAGGCAACTTACTGAACAGTAGAATATACTTCCAAACTGTATAATTGGTTATGGGATGATACCCAAAATACATAAAAAATTCATACAACACAGTAACAAAAAAATCAACAGCCTGATTAAAAAGTGGGCAGAGGACCTGAATAGACATTTTCCTAAAGAAGACACATAGAGATAGTGAACAGACATATGAAAAGATGTTCAATAGCACTAATCATTATGGAAATACAAATTGAAACCACATTAAGAAATCACCTCACACCAAACAGAATACCTAATACCAACAAGAAAACAAATATCAAGTGTTGGCAGGGATGTAGAGAAAATGGAAAAGAAAGCATTATGAAGGCTTCTTAAAAAACTAACAGAAATACCACATGACCCAAAAAGTTTACTTCTGGGAATTTGCCCAAAGAAAACAAAATCACCAATTCAAAAAGATATATGTACTCCTATGTGTATTGCAGCATTACTTACAATAGCCAAAATACGGAAGCAATCATCTGTAGATGAATATGTAAAAAATGTGGTTCATTTGTATAATGGAATACTACCCAGCCATACAAAAGAATGAAACCTTGCCATTTGCAACAACATGAACAGACCTAGGGGACATTATGCTAAGTAAGATCAGTCAGACGCAGAAAGACAAATACTGTATTGTTTCATTTATATGTAGAGTGTAAAACAAAACAAACAAACAAACCAAAGTAAAACAGACTCACAAGAGAACAGACTGGTGGTTCCTATGGGGCAGGAGAGTAGGGACATGGGTGAAATAGATGAAGGGAAAAAAAACTAGTAAGAATGTATGATATCTTGATTTGGGTGATGGTTACATGAGTCTATACACACATCAAAATTTGTCAAGCTGTACACTAAATGTGCATTTTATTATATGTACCTCAACATAAAGTTCTATGAACCTCAATAAAAAATTTATTTTAATTATTAAGAAAAGCAAGCAATTCAATAAAGGCTAAAAATTTGAATGCACTATTTCATAAGGAAGACATCTGAATGGTCAACAACACAACACTGTTCATCATTAGTTATCAGAGAAATGCAAATTGAAACCACAATAATTTAGTACCACTACCTGTGCAGACAACTGAACAGCTAAAACATCAAACATTGGTGAAAATAAGGAGCCAAAAGAACCCATATTAACAGTAGATAGGATTGTAAAATTGTACAATTACTTTGGCAAGAAATGAACCAAAGAGGGATGTCACAGCCCAAGCAAGTGGGGAGGGCATCTATATAGGAAGGCTGCTTAGTGCAGGGTGTCAGAGCCTGAGAGGGTAAGGTATTGGCAGGGCCCAGGGTTTTCACTGTGGGGATGAGCATTACATACAGGGAAAGGGAGAGAGCTAGAATTAATCCCGTGGTATTGAACTGGAATTGGTAGTAGAGCTGTGAACTCATGATCTTCAATATAAATAGATGGATACAGAAATACAGATGTAAATGTGTTTGTATGTGTATATAAATATATAGGTGTGTGTATATATCTACACATACATACCTACACACATTCCCTAGCTTTTGTCACTGAGAGTTTCTGTGAAGAGCAACATCCCAACAGCAATGAACACAACTAACATTCAGATGTTGGCTTCTAAATAGTATTCTTCACTAAAAGGAACCAGGACTCCTTGGAGAAAAGACTGGGTAAAGAAAAGTACAAAATGAGCCTGTACAAAAGGGTTCAAAGAATGATAGGGACATACCAAAAAGACGTGGAAGCCACCGTGAAGAGGTTCTCGGTAGCCAAATGTGGGACAATTTGCATGTCGATAACAAATTTTCACTCAGAGAATAAAATAGGAACCACAGTCCATACTGGTATAAATGAGTAAATACAAAGTCTGAGAACTGGAATACTCACATCATTTCAAAGTACCTCTTTAGGACATTGTATTCTAAAGAGTAGCTGTCTCATAATCTTTAAAAGCGTTAAGATCATGAAAGTCAAAGACAGGAACTGTTTACAATGGAAGGACATATGACAAATAAATGCAAAATGACATTGAACTAGATCCTTTTGCTATAAAGGCCATTGCTAGGACAACAAGCAAAAACAAGCAAAACTCAAATGGGGTCTGACAATTAGGTAGTATTCATATATCACTGTTAATGACCTGATTTTAAAGGTTGTATTGTGGTTCTATAGGAGAAAGTATTACATTAGCACATTTGGAGATAATGGGGCATCATCTGAGAAACGTAATCTCAAAGGCCCACAAAAATAAAGGCTTTTGCTCTGTATTTGCAAGCTTTCTGTAAGCTTGAGATCATTTCAAAGAAAGTTTTAAAGGCTTAAAGAAAAATACACACACACACACACACACACACAATATGTGTATGATCAGGCCTAACTCAGAGTTAATGAATCAGAATCTCCAGGGATTATATGATTTATGTCAAAGAAAGTCTTCAAAGCATTTAATATATTTAAGTTGCTTATGAAAAATTTTAAAAATAATTCTCTATTTATACCAATGATGTTGAAGAAAGGTAATTGTATGACATTCATTTCCAGTACAGGTAAGGGTGCCACTGGCCATTCCCTATCATCCTGCTATTCTACTTAAAAGGAAGCGCCCCCTTTCGGTCAGCATGAATAGAAGCTTGCCTGCCACCTTGGGGCATCTCTCAGAATTACTTGTAGAAGTACTATTGATTAGGAAAGTTGTAGTTCTCATCTTTTGTAAAGTTAAGCTTGAAGATGTCTACTCATGTAAACCTGCACAAACAAGATTTCCACCAGAAATACATGTGTGTCACACCTAATTAAATACCAGGGAAGGATAGAGCTCATCTGCTTAAAAAATATTCTCTGACAGCAAGGTTAAGGTAATGTCACAAGCAAACAGGTCACATAGTTTTGTGATTTTATTTATAAATAGTTTAAGTACCTATTTTAGATTTTGGATCTCCTTATCTGACTTCAAATAAGTTGAATAACACAAGAAGTATCAAACATAAGAGGAAAGATCGATACATTAGATTTGATCATATAAAAATTAAAAATTTCTGTTCAACCAGAGGTAATAAGCCTCAGCATGGGAAAAAATATTCACAGTACAGGTAACTAACAAAGAACTTACACAGAGATTACATAAAGAACTTCTACAAGGAGAAAATAAAAAGCCAAAGAACCAGGGACTCACTGTCTATGATGTTTTGATTTGCTTTTAGCAAAATATATTTTATGAATCATCTTATATGATAAAATTATCTTACTGGATTTTTACAAAAAAAAAAAAAAAAGCCAAAGAACCCCAATTTTTAAATGGTCAAAAGACTGAACAGACACTTCAAAACAAACTTCAAAGATTTTAAAAATCTATTTTGAAATTTTCAGTGAATATCTGATAGAACAGGGGACTGAGATATGATTTTTTTAAATGGATGTGACTTAATATCTTATTTTGAATCACACAAAAAACACATTTTATTTTGAAATACTTAAGAATCTCATTTCCTCCATATAATAAAGACTTAAACTGGCTGAGAATCTTAATCACTGAAAACATACCACATGGGAACAATCACTAGATATTTTTAGTAATTCAACTTTGAAACTAATTATTTTCCTTTTGTAAGTTTTGGATGGGTTTAACTGAAGAATATTCTAGTATCACTTATCCAAAGGGATCAGAATTTTTCTGAATTTCATGTAAGTAGAAAAAATACAGAAATTTATGATGTGTTCAGGAAGATGCAAGACTACAGCTGTCATTCACTGCTTCCAATTTTAAGATTCTGCATTCATTAACATAGGTAGTTTTATGATTTTAATAAACAGGTTTTATGGTAAATAAATGCTAATGTGAACTTATAAAATCCATTAATAATAAAATTCTGCTTTTATCAATTTTATATTTGGTTTTGTGATATGAATTTGACAGTGTTTCACTGCTTGAAAAAAATATGAAAAATAATGCTGGATTTGAGAACTACTGACATTTTACTGAGACCAAGAAATCCACAGATCTTGTGAGGACAATTCACTGTGGCAGTGGCTAACTGCTTAAGTACACTATGAATAGGACATAAGTCATTGAGATGACTGCTCAACAAATGTATACAGTTCTTATCTCCCAGGGACTGTGCACGGTAGGTCTTACTTACTGGTGCTACTATTTTTCCTGTTTGTCCAACTTGCATGTCATTGGGAACAAAGCCAGCATCAACAGCAGCACGAGAAGCACCAACTAAGGGGAGAAAATACTTGTCATTTTTTTGGAAATTCATTTTATAAAGGCCTTACTTTCTAAAAAAATCCCCTTGTCACTGATCAAGATTTCTGTAACTAAGACTTAGTGATTTTATACAAAGACTTTCAAGAAATTCCTTCTATTTATACTCAAAGATGTAATATTTTAAATTTGGTTTAAGTCCTCTGCTTCCTTTATCAAAAAGGCTTTCAGATATTAATAAAACATACATTATACTCTGGGATGTCATTATACAATACTCCTTTAGGCAACAACTTCACAACTTTTGAAGAAAGATACTATAATATCATTACCTCGGTGACCACATAAAGAGAAGAGTTACATATAACAGAAGGTAAAGGTTTAGCCAGTATTTGCTCTCTTAAAAAAAAATTAGATTTAACTAGACTTCTCTCCAGGAGTCAACAAGGAGCCCAGTACTAGAAGTAAAGCCACCCCTCTCCCAGCAGATGTCAAGAATGAGCCTCAGGTCCTCTTCATCTAGAGAGGACCAGAAAGAGCCAAAGGCAACACTCCTCACTACCGCCTAAAACTCAGTCTCACCACCATTACCTCTCTCATGTCAGTCAGGACTGATCACACTCTGCCCTTTTCCTACATCAGTCACTACAGGCCCATAGTCAGAAGTCATCCTTCATTACCCGTTCAGTGGTCCCCATAATGCCCTGCATGCACCCTAACCTGCACCCAGCTCCTAGTCCTCTCATTTAGGAACCCTTACACTATGACTTTTGGAACTCACAGCAATCACAGTCCCCTCTGTCTTTGATCTGTCTGTCCAGATGTTCTTTGAGGACAGCAATTCCCCTACAGCCCTCCTCAGCAGATGCTGCCTTGTCTGTCACCATCTTCACACCACTGGGCCTGGACAAGGGTCTGCTCTTGCAACTCTCAGGAAGCTCCCCCTCTTTCTTCCTTAAAAGCCTTCAGCTTTGAATCTCGTGTCATCAGATTATGTCACCCATTTATTTCTGTATCATCTATCAACCACTAGATCAATCCACTTCATTTCTCAACGATTTTTAGCTTCTGGGTCATTGTCACTTTTTCCAATACTAGTCTTTTCTTAATTCTTGGAGATTTCTACACCCGGGCTTCTCAGTTTCTTAAAGAACTCTCCCCCAGCCATCTTGTCTTCTATCCTATCCTCACCCACACCCATCCTGACCTTTCCATCACCAATATTCCTTGATAACCTCAATTCTCAGTGAACCCCTCCATCCAGCTGACTCCCTGTGCTGCCCAATTCCAACAACCCTCAAACCCCGCTAGGATCCACGCAATTCTATGGACTGTCCCTCTCTCCCCTCGCGTTCTCTCTTCTTCCTTTACCCAGCTCAAATTCTACAATCTATACACTAATCACTCCCTCAAATATGCCATCAGTTTCCTTGTTCTCCTCTTCCATCATCACGCTAAACTGGAAAAACCTCCTCTGTTTAACTAAGCAGTCTCTCCACCGTTTTCATAACTGTCCTCACAATTCAGCATGACTGCAGATGAACACAAACACTTTAAATAAACAGGCCTTAACTCTCATTCTCTCCTAAACTACGACTTCATCTTTTCTTCTCTCTTCAACTTCCAGTACTCTTCAGCAGTACTCTAACTCATTCTCAGCAAGTGATCTTATTTCCTATTTCACTGAAAAATATTGAAACAATCAGAAGAGAACTTCCACATGCTCCAACTAACACACTCATCTATCAACCTGCAGCTGCGTCCATCACTCTCTCCCGCCTACTCACGGACACTGACCCAGCAACTCCTCCCTCTCTCTCCTGGATGATTGTTTCCCCTCTCGACTGCAGCGTTCCCATGAGAAAATAAGCATACTATCATCTGTCCCATTTTTAAAAGTCCCTCTGTTGGTCCCACTCCCCTGTAGTTATTATCCATTTTTATGCTTTCCTATACAGCAAAATCACTCAAGTGAATTGTCTGTATTCACTGTCTTCAACTCCAGGTCTCCCACTCTATTTCTAAAAACCTGAGTGGGGAGGAGACAAGATGGCAGCGTGAGTAGTTCAGCAGAAATCTCCTCCCAAAAACATATATTTTTGAAAATACAACAAATACAGCTATTTCTAACAGAGAGACGAGTGGATACAGTACAATAGCCAGGCTACATCTACATTAGTGAGAACTCAGCATCTCACGAAGGGGGTAAGATACAAGCCGCAGCCCGGCGGGACCCAAGCACCGCACCCCCACCCCAGCTCCTGGCAGGAAGAAAGGAGTCGGAGCGGGGAGGGAGAGGGAGCCCAGGACTGCTAAACACCCAGCCCCAGCCATCCGCACTGGGAGCACAGCCACATGGTGCACAGTGTGCTGGATATCAGACAAACGGAAAAACAAAACCTGTGAGCGGGTCCCCACAACCGGCTCCACTGGGACAAAAGAAAAGCGAGTGCTTTTTGAAAGTCTTAAAGGGACAGGGACCCCAGAGCCGGACAAAATCATCCTGGCACACTCAGCCCAGCAGCTGGGAATCCCAGGGAACTCTAGCCGACCTGACCCCCTGGGCAGCAGCACAGCTCTGAAGCCCCTCACAGCGATAAAAAGCCTGCCAGTCATTCCCCCAGCTGGTGCAGACCCCAACACACCGGCCCAGTAGAGGGAGAGTGGGTGTGCACACCCGTGGCGGCAGCCCCAGAGGGGCCCAGGAGAGGCCTGCGAGCGCGGGGGGTGGGGGGCAACGCCAGAGAGGCGCGGGAGCAGCCCGCATGAGCCTGCAGCGGTGGTGGCCAAACGGCCTGGGAGCGGCCTGCAAGAGCCCACGGCGGTGGCGGCGGAGGGGCCCGGGAGCAGCCGCGAACCCAGCAGCCACCCAGAATATCCTCCCGGCACATAGCTGCCCAAGCCAGACCCAAAGGCCACCGCCAGTGTGCAGCTGCCCAGTGGGGGCGCCGCTCTCAAAGGAGAGCACACCCGGCACACCTGCCACTCCCCGCAGGGCTCTGGGCTACCCTGACGGAGATCCCGCCCACAGCAGCTCAGGGCATTCATCCGGAGGCGGCTCCAGGAGGGTGGGAAACCGACAGAGGCAGCAGAGAAGGGCAAGGTGTCCAGCAAGCAGGAAAGGACTTTGTTCTCCCAGCTGACACACGCGCCACCTGCCTACAGCTACTGCTAACACCATGAAAAGGCAGAAGAATCTGGTACAGTCCAGAATTACCCAGACAACCCCAGAGAGACGGCCTGGGGAGATAGATATAACAAATCTCCCTGAAAAATAATTCAAAATAAAGGTCATAACCATGCTGATGGATCTGCAGAGAAATATGCAAGAGTTAAAGGATAAAGTTGAGAAGGAGAATACAGAAATAAACCAATCTCTGGAAGGATTCAAGAGAAGACTGGATAAGGTGCAAGAAGTCATTAATGGAATAGAAATCAGAGAAAAGGAACACAGAGAAGCGGAGGCAGAGAGACATAAAGGATCTCCAGAATGAAAGAATATTAAGAGAACTGTGTGACCAATCCAAATGGAACAATATTCACATTACAGGGGTACCAGAAGAAGAAAAGAGAGAAAAAAGGATAGAAAGTGTCTTTGAGGAAATAATTGCTGAAAACTTCCCCAAACAGGGGGAAAAAATAGTCTCTCAGACCATGGACACCCACAGAACTCCTAACACAAGGGACCCAAGGAGGACAACACCAAGACATATAATAATTAAAATGGCAAAGATCAAAGACAAGAACAGAGTATTAAATGCAGCCAGAGAGAGAAAAAAGGTCACCTAGAAAGGAAAACCCATTAAACTATCATCAGGCTTCTGAACAGAAACCTTACAGGCCAAAAGAGAATGGCATGATATATGTAATGCAATGAAACAGAAGGGCCTTGAACCAAGGATACTGTATCCAGCACTATTGTCCTTTAAATATGAAGGAGGGATTAAACAATTCCCAGACAAGCAAAAGTTGAGGGAATTTATATCCCACAAACCACCTCTACAGGGTATTTTAGAGGGACTGATCTAGATGGGAGCACCGCTAAGGCTAAACAGATGTCACCAGAGAAAATAAAATCACAGCAAAGAAAGCAGAACAACCAAATACTCACTAAAGGAAAAAATAAAACCACTATTCACAAAAGCAGTCAAATGAAACACAAAACAGTACAGAATAAAACACCTAACATATAAAGAATGGAGGAGGAGGAATAAGAAGGGAGAGTATTAAAGATTCAACAGACTGTGCTTATAATAGCTTAATAAGCGACTTTAGTTAGACAGTTAGATAGTAAAGAAGCTAACCTTGAACCATTGGTAACCACAAATCTAAAGCCTGCAATGGCAATAGGTATATATCTTTCAGTAGTCACCCTAAATGTAAATGAACTGAATACACCAATCAAAAGACATAGAGTAACATAATGGATAAAAAAGCAAGACCCATCTATATGCTGCTTACAAGAGATTCACCCCAAACCCAAAGACATACACAGACTAAAAGTGAAGGGATGGAAAAAGATATTTCATGCAAACAATAGGGAGAAAAAAGCAGGTGTAGCAGTAATGGTATCAGACGAAATAGACTTCAAAACAAAGAAAGTAACAAGAGATAAAGAAGGACATTAAATAATGATAAAAGGGTCAGTCCAACAAGAGGATATAACCATTATAAATATATATGCACCCAACACAGGAGCACCAGCATATGTGAAACAAATTCTAACAGAATTAAAAGAGGAAATAGAATGCAATACATTCGTTTTAGGAGACTTCAACACACCACTCACTCCAAAAGACAGATCCACCAGACAGAAAATAAGTAAGGACACAGAGGCACTGAACAACACACTAGAACAGATGGACCAAACAGACATCTACAGAACTGTACACCCAAAAGCAACAGTATACACATTCTTCTCAAGTGCGCATGGAACATTTTCCAGTATAGACCACATACTAGGCCACAAAAAGAGCCTCAGTAAATTCAAAAAGATTGAAATTCTACCAACCAAC